GGGACTCGATCCCGGGACTCCAGGATCATGACCTGAGCCAAAGGCAGTCGCTTAACCAACTGAGCCACCCAGGCGCCCGATTGTGGTTTTTTAAATCAACATTTTGTATGGTTCCATTTTTGTCTTTTCTGTTAGCATTTAAATTACACCTTTATTTCTTCTTTTTTAGTGGCTGCCCTATGGTTTGCAATATACATATACGAATCCATGTGCACTTTCAAATAATACTATATTGCTTCACAGATAGAGCAAGTATTTTTAATAACAAAATAATCCAAATTCATTCTTCCCATCCCTGCTATCATTGTTGTTATTCATCTCATTTCACTTACACATAAAATATATCAGTGTATATATTTACATAAGACCATATACAGTTGAATGCATTCTTGATGTTCTAATTTCAAACAAAACTGTTTTCTGTTAAATCAATTAAAAATAAGAAAAAGAAAAGTTTTTATTTTACTTTCACTTATTCCTTCTTCAAAGCTCTTCCAGTCTTTATGTAAATCTGAGTTTCTGACCTATATCATTTTCTTTCTCTGTAAAGAACTCCTAATATTTCTTGCAAGGCACGTCAACTGATAACACATTTCCTCAATTTTTGGTTTTCTGAGAATGTCTTTATTTTCTCTGTTTCTTCTGAAGGACAATTTGACAGGTACAGATGTCAAGATTGGTGGATCTTTTTCTCTTCTTGCTTGTATGTTTTCTGAGAAGTCAGATATGATTCTTATCTTTGCTCTTCTATAGGGAAGGTGTTTCCTTTGGCTTCTTTCGTGATATTTTCTTTATTTTTGATTTTCTGTAGTTTGAAAATGAGGTGGCAAGGTATAAATTTTGGGGGGCGTATATCAAGCTTGGTGTTCTCTGTTCTTCCTGGGTCTGTGGTTTGTTGTCTGGCATTAAGGTGGGGAAAATCTTAGTAGTTTTTTTCAAATATTTCTTCTGTTCCTTTCTTCCTTCCCTTTTTGTAATCCCGTGACATGTATGTTACTCCTTTCGTAGTTGTCCCATTGTGCTTAGAGATTCTGTTCTGGTTTTGTCAGTCTTCCTTGTCCAACATAGTAGCCATTAGTTACCTGTGGCTGTGGAACACCTGAAATGTGGTGAGTGGGACTAAGGACATCAATTTTTAATTTATTCTAAATTTGATTAACTTACATTTAAATAGTCATGGTGGCCAGTGCCTACTGTACTGGACAGCAACAGCTCCACTCAGTTTTCTGCCCCATGATTTTAATCACTACAGAGTATATCCTGGAGATCACTGCATAACATTATAGGGGGAAAAAAAATCTTCATTGCTTAAGAGCTGCATGGTACTCTAGGATGTGACCACCTTATATTATTCAACCAGCTCCCTATTGGTGGACACCTGTCTTATTTCTTGTCTTTTAAGGTTATGATTTGTTCTCTCAGAAATGGTTTTTTTTCAAGATCTTTTTTATTTTATTTATTTGACAGAGAGAGACACAGCGAGAGAGGGAACACAAGCAGGGGGAGTGGGAGAGGGAGAAGCAGGCTCCCCGACGAGCAGGAGCCCGATGCCGGGCTCAATCCCAGGACCCTGAGATCATGACCTGAGCCAAAGGCAGACGCTTAACGACTGAGCCACCCAGGCGCCCCTCTCAGAAATGCTTTTATGCTTATACCTTTTTATCTTTTCACATGGCATCTCTTGGATAGAGTCTTAGAAGTTCCTCATTCTAAGGGAAAATTCTTCTGTCCCAGAAAATAGAAAATTTGAAACAGAATGTGTCTGCAAATGTGGAAGCAAGAAGTAAATTTTAGTCTTATCTCATCATTCCTTTCATTCCATGTACTTTCTAGTTTGACATGGGTAAAGCAATTCCTTTTTTTTTAAGATTTTTTAAATTGATTTATTTGAGAGAGAGAATGAGAGAGAGAGAAAGAGAGCACATGAGAGGGGGGAGGGTCAGAGGGAGAAGCAGACTCCCTGCCGAGCAGGGAGCC